TATAATCCTATCGATTCCTCTTCGCGTTTACTAAACTGTTTTCGCATTCTTCAACTGTGCTTCCTGCTAAGTGCATTGATGGTTCCTGGCCAACTAGGTTCGTCTTTTCCGTTTTGCTTCTGAAGTCTGACAAGGTAACTGCCAATTCACGTTCTGTGCTAATAGTAACCGTACGTAACATAGACCACAAGTTGCAAGGTTTCCTCACCTGACGTTTTGGATAACGGTGCTAAGTTGCACCTTCATAACGAAGGTATTGTTACTTTTCCGACTGTTAATAAGTTCATTGGCAGAGAGGTCTTGTACTCCTCTATGTCCCACTGTGATGCTTTTAGACTATTCATAGTGTAGACCAGCGCATCATAGGCGCTTTTTCGGCGCCTAGTTGGCCAGTAGTTGCCGACGACGAACTGCACAGCTTACCCAATCAATACGAAAGGCCCAAAATAACTGCGGCTTACTTCTTCCTCCAACGATGCGCCCTAAAGCACTGATGGAGAAAGGGGTGAGGGAGAGCTGCTTCTAGCGAGCATTTCAGAAGTAACGGAGCGACTGAGCAGCTCTTAAAATTGACACGCACGTACATAGACAAGAAGCGCCTGATACATGGGATCAGATGTGTAACGCCATTATAGCTGCAAGCACGCCCCATTCTTTGAGCCATATTTCGAGAGCCTTTAGGAATCTCTTAGGAACCTCCCCCACCCGCTTAGCTGCCAGCGACCTTGCACCCTTCCGCAAGTTTCTCTGCAGCCTTAACCAAGAGAGGCGCTGCAGCTTTCAAAGCCATCCCCTAAATTTCTGAGAGCTACAACGATAACTAAGAGTGACCTGACGTTGCATACTGCATGTAACCTGTGTCTTTGTTCTGCATACGTGTGTCAAAGTAAATCTGTTTCTTCAAGTGTGCGCCGACATGACACCCAAGCAAGAACTTCCTTCGGGGAATCAATGTCCTAAAATTGCGCAGTAGTACGAAGTACACTCTGGGAGCTTGACGATGATCCGCTACGCAAAGGTTAATTTCGGGGACATAGAGGATGATGGACCTAGTGGTGACGCAAGAAGGCTTCGAAGAAACCAAAGCCTCGAGAAACACTCGCAAGGCAGGAAACAGGACAAGGAGAACAGGTAGTCGTGAAAGAGCTTTTTGTCAAGTTTTTGTAATTAAACTATCTGAATATTAAAAATAGATATAGGGAAGTTTATCTGCATAGAGGCATAAACAGATGTATGAACATTTATGAAAACAAAACCTAAAAATATTTATGTTTGGGCTGCAATTCATACTTTTATGTAGCAATAAGCGACATTATTTTGGGTCACGTATAATATTGGGCCCTATAAGGGCTCTCCATTGTATGTACAGGTAACTGTACTTGCATGAGCTGCTCCGTTACCATAACAGAGCTTTACGAACTGCACGTTAGAAACTACTTTCTTTTTGTTCCCTTAATATCTAGGAGAAACGTTTAACAATGAAAATAGGTTTTATAATTATGCAAAAGCTAAATATTAGTCGCAGTTGCCTTGTTCAATATTTATCGCTTTTTCGACTCAAAATTGTGCCGATATTATTATCATGTAGTAAAAATAGAAAAATTTTAAAAAAGTTTTTTAAAAACAATGAAGAACTTAAAGCTCAAGCGCTTTTTCAATTTCAACTCAACTTTATTCTATTTATAGAGTGAACACAACAAATATCACTACTTGTTATTGTATTCATAGTTCCGTTATTATTATTATTGCCAGTGAACAATGCGAAAATAAAAACCCTGAGAAGTTTTTTTAATGACGATAACTTGAAAATATCTGTTATATTGTTTACTTTTCATTGCACCGATTTTTCCTTCCTGTGTTATAACACGATATAATGGAATAGTAAACCTCTGAAATAGAAGCAAATCCATTCAACACGCATCACACTTCAGGATTTACCCTTACACGTACCCTTTCAAAAAGCACCGTATTATAAACATGGCAATATTGTTTTTTATGGCTACAGATTGAATGCCTTATGCTTACTACTGAGGGAAAATGGGTTTGTCGAGTCCCAGGCTAACCGTGTCAAACTCTATCTAAAGCAAAGACAGTTACCAACTAACACATCCTATAGCGTCGCGGTACGTTAGCCTATATATGGCATTCTATTAAGTTAATAAACTCCCATTAATGGAAAACACAAAATTCTTGCTAAGTAAATTTAGCCCATAGTCTTGTTTTTAATCTATTTAGTATCGGAAGAAGATTAGTTTATATAAACTAATCTTCTTCCGATACAAATGGATTATATACTGATTTGAGCATGGAACGAAGCGTATACTACGCTCAGTAATGGCGCTGGCTATTTAAGCACTTCTGGTAGAAAACTATAAGCACATAAATAAAAATAAAAAGCATCCTTATCTCTTACTTTTTTTTGGCTCGTCATCATCCTACTACCTTTTCTGCAATATCGAAGATGGAAATCGCATACAAATTGTTCTTATTTTATGTTCTTCGGCTAGAGCACGGGTAACGTAGAGCTTAAAACAAATTGAATCGTACTGCAAAAGGCATCCGAAAATTTTATTAGCAAACGGTTGAATTAACTTGGTGCTCTTAGAGAAATTTAATTTACTGTAGCTAACTAGGATCACCATGTAATTGAAACAAATAAACTATTTTGAATCATGAAATGATTTGGAAAAAGAAATTGATATGATCAGATGTAGCATGCCGAAAAAGTCAAACTCAAATAAGGCTACACAACGTTCGTTTGTTCGAAATAATGCTTTCCTAAATAATAGAAACAATTCTAGTTAAAGCGCTATTAAAAAACGATGCGTCTGTTTCCGCACTTCCGTTTTTACCTTAAACATATCTCTGGCTTCGTAATAGAACATTTGTTCGCTTATGTACCGCACCCTTTTTTATTTTATCTAAAGCTGGTTATTAGTTCTATAAAAACGTTCATTGGCTAGATAAATACACCGACTCTACAAATCGAACGACTCATACTACCACATCTAGCTTCTATGTTCCTTCATCATCTTGTATATTTTGTTCTCTTTTGCTCGGGAAACTACCATTCCTTCTGACGGTTTTGCATCAGCATACCTAAACTGCAACTCTTATGCTATCTATACCTGATTGGGGCACTTGTCACCTTTATCGTTCAGATCTTTTTTTCGCTTCTTCTTCGTTGTTTTTAATGTATAAGTTACTTTGATTTTAGTCATTTCTCGCAATCGTTTAATTACGCTTTTGACAAGTACTTTGCGGCTCCCTAAACGCTTAGTCAACGCGGTGACTTAAACGTTGAAACCAGCAGCGGACGCTGGCTTAAATACTGTACATGCATTATAGAGTGCATATGAGTATGTCTGAATTATTTCAATATTTCTTAAAACAGAATTTTTTTCGAAATTAGGTCCACGTTCACAGTTTAGTCCGGTTTTCTTCCATTGTACTTTCCTGCACGTTTATTGCATTTAGCTTCGCCAGACTGCTTCCGGCTTCTGCTCTCTTCATCGTTTCTCTATCTCGCTGTTATGAAAAGAACACAAGGCCATTGATATAACCCCTAGAAGAAATACGTAGCGGTGTCGTAAAGGCCTCTAGTTCCCTTATCTCATTAATAACAGATCAAATTTAAAATGTCTCCAGTGCCAGTGATTTAAATTTAATGTGTAGTAATAAGCATGCATTCTAGGCGAACTTAGCGAGATTTTTGAGGAGCGTTTGTTCTTCTACAAAAACACCTACAAGCTGACACTGGTACAAGATTTTGTCAATGGAGAAGAACTCGAGTCAGTTTAGACGAAGAGGTTAAGTACTCCAACAGGATTTCACTTTATCATCGGCAGTGTTATAAAAATTTGGTTATAGTAAACTGAATCAGTCATTGAGAATTCCGGACCTAACATATTGAAAGATCTCTAAGGGCAGACTAACCCTGTATGGACCTCACTGAGGCAACTATATATGCGTGGGCTATGAGGAAGTACTAATAAGATCAAATCATTGTGCGACTGTTTTTAAGCGGCCTTTTTGAAATAACTATATTTTAGAATTATTTAACAACTTTTTTAATGGTGATCGCCAAACGATTCAGTAATTTTACACTTTATCAAAATTTCCCAATTATCTTTTTGTGATATTATCAATTTATTTGAATAAGTTAAGATACCCTTTCCTTGAATGAAAGCAAAGCTTGACTAGTATTATTGTTGTTTAGTATTTGTTATACTTTAAGTACAGGTGTCAATAATTCCGTTGTATACACTGTAAAGTACATACGATTAAGACAGTTTTCTATGAAAGTTAAATCTTCATTCGCAACTTGATTCTAAAATAACAGATTGAAGTAGATGATCCTCTAATAATCTATTTTACTTTCAGCAATTGTTTTCATTTCTTTGACTTTCAATAGTGGCTTTTCTTTCAGTTTTATTTTTCAAACGTTTATTAATCTTAGCAACTTTAGAAGCCGTCTCTTTATTACACCGAAAAATATTGCCTGGACTGAACTACAGATAATACGTTGGTCGGGAAAAAATGCTGTTTTTTGTTGTGCACTTGAGCAGAAATGACTTGTTAGCTGAAGATGTACATACAGTAAGTAGTTATTTTTGAAGCCCAGGCAGACTAGAGCCCTAGTATACAACACAAGACACCGTAAAGCATCTAAAATGGAAAGTCCCGAGAGACCTTGCAGTTAGTTAAATAACAAAGCCAAATGATCATTTTGGCTTATTTTGCTGCTATAGTGCCTTTTTAGATCTCATAATTTTAACCACGTACTGGATGGGATTACTCTCTGGCGGCTTTTTACCCCCTTACACTAACAAGGAAGCCTTTGTATTAATAATAAAACGCTGTTTCTCCTCGTACATCTCAGGCTTTTTAAAACTCTTATACTATTCATCTTTAAGTAAAGTTTATTGGGTAAATCTGAAAGAAGTATCTATTTATGACTAAACAGAAAACGTGGCGTTATTCTCGAATATGGCGGCAAAGCCATTTATTGCTATTGATTGTCTCTACGACTTTGTCCCATTTCCTAGAAGTGCTGAATCTCCTCGAGTTAATTCTTAAGATCTTTTTGTTGTCAAATGTACCATTAATTCAATGTACTATCATTTACCAGTGATCAGGAAACTCAATAGTTCGTTGTCGCTAAGTTCGTAAAAGACGATGAATGAAAAACCTCTAACTCAAACTTTCGCAGGACGACATCAGCGGCCTTCGCCACCTGTAGATTAACATTACTGTGGAGAACAAAACTTCGTTTTGATCAAATTTTACTAACCACATAACAAAATTACGATGGACTCTTAGAAAAGCAACAGGGCTTTTGTTGTTGTAAATAAACAGTGAACAGACAAAGGTTTTGAAAAAAAATTAAAAAAGGGCTGACATAACTCTCTGATGAAACTAATGCCTTCCCTCAAGACTTTCAAAAAGTCCACCATTTCTTCACTTCGCGTTAACCGAACGTCATTTCTTTTTTCATTTTATGTTTATTATTAAGCAAATGTGTAAAACTTAAATACTAACTATCGAGAGTAGACGGTAACTGTTCGATCAATAGTAGTAGATACTGACGTTGAACAAATTTCTGACTCATAACACAGCAGGCGTAATCTAAACAAACGCAATACCGTTGCTTGGTGCTTTGCACAACGTTATCCTTCCAAAAAAACAATTATGTTTTTGTCGCCAATTTTGTTAGTATAAGAAGCCTACTTAGTGGCCGTAATTCTAGCATAGCAGCATGGTAGTATCATAGTCGGGAGAACGGTGTATCTACCAGTCTACTTTTCGAAAAAAAAAATACTAGTGGCTAATACAACGCGTACAACCTGAGAGTGTTAATTGTTGAGCATTCACAGAAGACGCATGACTGATTCAGTGGCACCCGGGGATTCCGGTAAAAATGTGATCAAAATACATCCAGACTCGTTGCGGCTTGCAGCCGTATACGACTTTAGCTCGTCCATGGTCATAATTCTTTTCGGAGCACCGATCGGCTGATGGGTTGACAAAACAGCTCGTTTGAAAGGTTTGCTCGTTATTTTCAACCTGATATACCGACTGCATTGACAAATTGATAAGTCTATAATTAGACGACAAGGAAAAACGACAGGACGCAGATTGTAAGATATATAAAATCACAAGGATCATACGTGCTGTAAGAAAATAATGTTGTTAACTCGATGTATGGAAGACGTAGTGGCGTTACGGAAAAAGAGAAAAACGCATGTTGAAGTAACAGGGTTAATAAAGGAGAAACAAGAGCTGTCTGTAGAGGTACATTACGTAAGGCCGTTATACGCTGATAGAATATATCGACAGGGCTGAGCAAAGTGTAAATGGGTGCAATATGTTTTTGTCAACTGCGATGCATTCTCTATTAAACAGGTACATAAAATAACGTGTCATTTAAATAATCGCATTATTTTTTTTGTGTTTGCGAAAAATATCATCATTCAAATAGACAATGGTGGAAATGCTGAATCGCGGTGAGTACATACCATAAACTGAGACTAAGAATGCCGTCATAACATCGAATGTAAGCTATATTGAGCTACGCCATGTTTATATCATAACCACTGTGTAGTTTTTCATCTCTACTATTTCTACATTTCTACTATTTCGCGCTTTCGAGGCGCAGCGAATAAAACTAGTAAGTTGGCTTTCCTCAAGGTTTCAAGCTGTTATCTAATGGCCTTTCTCCCCTGTTATTTTTTCAGTTCTTATCGTTTTAAAGATCGGTGTGCACAGTGTTTGTGTATAAGCTTTCATTCCTTTTTGGTAACTCGGTTCGCATTGCCAAACAAGAATCAGCTTTTGTTTTTTTATATCTCATCAATAATTTTTTACGTAGCAAAATATGCATAAACAATTTATGGGGTTCAGTGTGTAAAGACATACTAGTGAGCTCAAATTTTACCCTCAGACTGATTTTGGCAAATTTTGCCCTTATCTACGTTTGTGATGTCTTTAGCTAACTTTTAGGTTACATGTGTTGCAATTTTTTTCCGAAATACTCCATGAGATCGCCAAAAAAGTTTTCTTTAGCTTTAAACATGTTTAGTTTAATTTTCATATGGAAAACATGAAGCATTATTATATTCCCGTTTTTTATCCATTTTTATTCCTACAAAAATAGTATGCTATTGTGTTATATATTCTCCGAGGTCAGTGAACGGGAAAGGCGAAAATACATAGGCACAAAGTCCGGAGATTTCGGGGAGTGCATTAAAATCCAGGAGGGCAGCTTTATCGATGTTTGCCGTGTGCGGCCTCACATCGCCTTGGAATAGGATGAGTTGACGTCGTTTGTTAAGTTTTTTATTTTAAGTAGCTTTGTTGACTTCATGGTACTGGTCCATAGGAACGTGCCCATCAACTGTGTGGTTTGTAGGGGGCAATCCCCAACAGATCAGACCCTCGCGATCCGACCAAACGCAAAGAACAGCTTTTTTAAAAAGAAACTGATTAGGCTTTGGATTCTCCCTGGAGTCATTCATTTCAGTCTCTGGTTCGGGTTACCGTATAGACACCACTTCTAATTATTGATGATAATTCCGTGCAACAAGTCGGTCAGTGTGGCGGCGTGACGCTCGATATCGACCGAAGTGTTTTGACGTAATGCTAAATCATAATGCATGTTGGATTCAGAGAGTTTATGAGGCACCCAAGCTTTATGTTGCTGTGTAAATGTAGTTGACTTAAAATGGTACTTTTAAATGGTCGTTATCAGTCTCGGACGGTCGGCCTAGCATATTATAGTAAGTGTCAAAAAAGCACGTTCTTCTATGTAGAACATCCGTTGAACGGGTTCCGTTTTTGCCATGCCGTCCTGAACGGCACCCATATTACAATACCGTTGCGGCGCGCTGATAGAGCAGGAAGAGCACTTGCGATCGGTACATCAGAGGTAAATAACAAGTGAAGAAAAATGTAAAAGAAAACCTCTTTATACCAACAAAAAAATTTCTTCCAATATAGGATTGTATATTGTCGGAATTAACGAAAAATGCCATTGATAAATTACTGTAAAGGTATAACGGTAACGTATAGTGAATTGCATATAAAGAAAAGAGCGTTGACCTTTGTTTTAAAACTTCACGCGGCACGGCACAAGATCCGCCCAAGTTGCAAACTTCTATTTTCCTATATTCTCTTATATTTGTATTTAATTTATATTTAAATCTTTAAAAAAAATTATGAGGCGCCATGTTTTGTGCTCACGTTTAGAAGAACCTGTCGTACACAGATCCTGGTAACTAAGTGCTGCGAAGCATTCTTTTAATAGGTCTGCACAAACGACTTTAAACAAAATTTAAGTATACAAAAAGTTCAAGCTGCGAACTTCTGTGTTCACCATTTGTACTTACAATGCAAGCTCGTGATCGGACTAGTATTAGTTTTTTACAAAAGGTAAGGTTTATTAGTCTGTTATCCAGTTTGCTTATAGGTATTTATCTCTTGATGAAATGGATAAAAATATCGCAAAAGTTCGCCCAAAAAGTGCCGACTTAAATTTCACTTCTACCTAGCATCCCCGCCTAAAGCAATTATTTTTGTAAAATATCTGATTAATCTGAGTTTTTTTTATGAATATCTTTGATAATTCAAACTCATCGAAGGGCAACAGTTCGATCCGACTTCTTGCAATTTAAACCGATGAATATGGAGGAAGACACTTTGCACAATACAATTGGCTGCAAAAAACCCAGCGGACGTCATCGTCTAGGGACAACGGGATTCACTTTACACGGTATTAGACAAATCCATTCATTGCTGAACATTTATTTGAATTATTGAACGAGATATATAGAAAAGATAATTTCGAATTTGTTGCTGAGGTAATATGAAAACTATTAATTCAAAACTATGTTGGGGCCAATAAGATAATACATTGGTTATACTAAAGCAATACTCTTACCATTGGGCAGGTTTCGATATTCAGTTAATAGAATGCAAATATAACCCTTTAGTCTGCATCTTGTTTATCCTTAGCGGCAAAAATGTCGCTGGGTTTTCAGAATGCAACTGTGTTTTTGTGCGCAATATTTCTTTGTATGGTAATGATGTTTGAGACCCAACGTAAGAATTAAACTGTGGGTTGACGTCGCTGGCCAAGGCCTTGTCGTAGCGATGGCCGTACTTAGCCGTCTTCGATCGCTAGCCAATATCGTCCGCGTGGAGAAAAACCAGCACCTGGTAGCCGCGAGAAGCTCGCTGGTACGTGACATCTTCAGTACCTACACATACATAGTTGGATGTGAGAACAGTACTTTCAATGTTATCAGCACCCGCAGTTCATGTTTACCTTATGTCAACTATATTCTGTCTAATGTTGGCCCCGAGTAGTAATGAACGCAATGGTGCGTCGGATAGACATGGTTTCGAAGCTTCTGGCACCACTTTTTGTAGGCCCGATCATGGCGCGTTGGGCACCGTATTTCTTGCCGGCTGAAACGTCGTCAGTGTTTACCTCGAATACTGTCTTTTGCTTGACTTATACATCAACGTGCCGATCTTCGCACTTAAATATCATTAGCAAGGAGTCTGTAAAAATAAGCGATTGCTCTAATAGTTATCAGGAGAACGTGATGAATATAAGAAACTACTTATTCAAACTATCACTCAAATGAGCCCGAATTTTAGCAGCAACTGCTTTGGCGATCTCTCCTAGTTCGCTTCATTGCCTATAAACGTCCATTTACTTGAATACATACTTCAGTGTCTTATCAACTTTGATTACCTTCTTTACATATATTATGTGTAGACACTATTTTTGATCGTCTGAAAGGAACACTTTATTATTCAGTAAGATCTTTTGTTAGTTACAAGGCCAGCACCTGGGTGCTTTCGTGAGATTTGACGAATAATCAATCTCCTTCTTTTTTTTTTGCTGTGCGTTCTCTACTGATTCGCTTCATTGCCGTTTTTCTACTACGTATTTTCGTAGGTACCTTCGCAGACGTGTGTCGATATTTGTCAAGGGAATGAACAGCGTGCTCGAATGTAAATGTAGTGCTATGGTTTAATCCGTTACCGGGGGAGCGAAATGGCCCATAAAAGTTTACGTCGCATTTTGCATCGAATTCGTATAGTATTGTACAACTATTTATATAACCAGTATCCTATTAAGGTGAATGTAATAACATACATAAAATAAAATCTCGGGTCAGCACTAATAGATCTTACCATGGCCTAGATGAGGACATGCGGCCCTTCCTCATAGCCTCCTCCCCTATAAGATGCGTGATTATTTGGGAGGATGGATTCGATTTCTGCAACACCCTGTCTGCTTTGCAGGATTGGGACTGACCCTCACGTTTATGACCGTGCTCATGTTCGACAGTATTACCGTAGGTAAGAATCATGTCTGCACTGATGTTGACAACAGTATACGAAATTTCGTCAGTTTATTAGGTAAGTACTGACTGCAGTGCCATCTTTAAAATACTTGTTGGATCTTTGTTTACAACGAGGGTCAGTGTCTGCCTAAAAAAACAAAATTGCATTTCAATCAAATTTAAATTTGGCCAAACATTTGAAGCGATATTGTGCGAACTATGAATTATAGTAAATCGACGCTCGCGTCCCCGCTCCCTAATTTAAAACCGTCGATATCCTACTGCTACATTATGCGGAGAACAGGTATTATTTTTCAAGAATTAGCTATATTAAAGCAACATATAACCGTGCTACGTCCAAGAAGGAACAACTTTATACTCTTGTAATAGGGATACTTTTGAGTAGACGAATGTCAGCGTGGGTTTATAGGCCCAGCGTCTCAGTTATCTTATTTTGAAACTTATGAAATAAAAGGCTTTGATGTATCTGTTTTTTTTTTTAAGACATACCCATAATTCACAATCGTAATTACAATCATTTTTTAATTCTACGAAGAGAAACATATATAACTACGACAAGTCCTTATGGCAAAATCTCAACCGAAAACGTTTCGCAGGATGAAAATCGCGCCACAATAGCATGGCGTGTACACATTGCGCTAACAGAAGTTATGACTCTGAAAAAATGGTAAAGCTGTAAAGCTCTACAAATCGGAAATTAGCATAATTCGGAAAAGTTATCTTAGAATACTACCGAACTTTATATTTCGTAAATTACGCTATGGGTCACAAAGTTTCCGTCCTGATTTTCGTTAACATATTTTGAGGGAGCCAGATTAAAGCGGACGTTGCACGACGCATCGCAGTTTTTTAGGTCAGTGTAACTACAAGCTTCTCAACCGCTCATTGAGTATTCATACGATGCATAGCCGTCAGTCATGTGAGGAACCTATTTACTCGTAAGTAGTTGTGCCGAATATGCGTATCGTTTTAAACAGGTCCAAAGTCTTGATGAAATAGAATCGTTGCTTGATTTACACTGTACTTCTTTGGCAAGATCGGAAATCGGGGCTTAATTGCTTAGCCGTACAACGTCTGTTTTTCAAGTAAACACGTAGTCGAGTTCTTATAACAAGAATGAAAAAAACACACGCAGATAGGGAATATCTGAAAGTGATATTATGGCTCTGCGTGTAGTGTCAAAGCCGTTTAAAGCTATTACCATGTCCCTATAAAGGAGGCGTTCTAATACACACACGCAAATCTTTACGAGTTGTGCTATTTCCATGTCATGTACAACAGGAAACAGGGTAAAAGGTCTATGAGCAGGTTATGAAGAACGATGACTTCACTCAAGGTGCCCAACTTCGACGTCTGTTCCGCGATGATTATTTTGCCTATTAGTGTAAGTTACCCATTCCAACTTACAATGATATAGGGAGATCGTAAACGATCATCAAGGTATTTCAAATACCACAGCTTAAAGTGACGTGAAAGTATGACGTGGGGGGTCATACCTGACGTATGACATTTCCGAGTAAATCTTGCGCAGCTATTAGGAATTTTTCTGTAAAAACCACTTGTCTAGGTTAGTAGGTGTCTTGACCACTTGGACTAGTTAGTTTAATTGACGTTTAAGGTTTTTGTTTCTAACCATACTCATATAAGACGACTGTGACGTTTTAGACGCGCAAGAATATGTTTCTCAGTTTTGATATGAAAACTCACTAGCCGATATATGTTTCTAGATACATTTTTATACATTTAGAACTTGATTGCGACAATGCTGTTGAATCTTAGGTTATATCTATAAGCAAGGTATCTTCGAAGCTGTTGTGGGCCTTGTGTCTGCTGGTACGGGATTTGTAGGTATATTTGGCACACTGGCCTATCCATGGCTACAACGAAGCATCAGACTCGAACGTACGGGTCTCCTTTTCTTAATTTCCTGCATTACGCTATGCGTCGTCTCGATGTTTGTCAACGGGAGCCCCTTTGACCCCATGCTAATCAGGTGCGTATACTCGAGAATACTTGTTAATTGATGTATTGACATAGTTTACTAGTGTTATTGCAGCCCATATCGAAAGACATACATATATTTTTTCGTAACTTCAAATTAACTACATGACCTTTCAGACTATTCGGAAACGATATAGCGAACTTTAGACGTTCCCTTGGAATTCAACTGCCGACAGCCAGCTCGACTTCAATAGAAAAAGAAGAGTTTACCAGTGAAACAATTATGTATTTTGTCAATGACAAAACGCCCATCGACGATGAAGGTTCGGCGCCACGTTTACCATCGTCTGAATATGAAACAAACTTTGTCGCTCACGAGACGAACCCTTCCTTTGTGATGCTCATAGCAGGCATATGTCTGGCAAAATTTGGTACGTTAGAGATCAAAAATTGCTGATCAAAGAATAACTAATTTACTAAACATACGTATACGTGTCATGTTTTTACTTTGTCTCATAGTCATGTTTCATCTTATGTAATTTTGTCTCATTTGATCCGAATGTTTACTCCACTCTGTCCTCTCCAGTGCACTACTGTTGGAGAATAGCACATTTAAAAGGCTATCCTATTGTTGCACTCTTAATCCAGGCCTTTTCTGCTTTTGCAAATCTCTGGATTGCTGACCTGGCGGCAAATCAATTTTTACAGGAATTAGTAGATGATGGCGAACGAGGTTGCATCAACGGTGTCCAACAATCTATCAGTGTATCAATGGGATTACTGAAATTTACCATGGTGAGTGAAATTATAGCGATTTATGAGTTATACAATACCGTGCTATTGATCGACCGTTTACCCTGAAAAGAAGATGCCGGTTAGAAATGCCGGTATTTACAACCTAATCTATCTAGTCCTGTTACAGGCTGACATCCCCCGCACTCGCAGACTGCTCAAGAATGATTGACCCTATCTTAGCTAAGCTAACTATTCTATTATCGACGGCACTTGGAACGCTTTAATAGTCGGTATTTTCATTCACATATCGTCCTTCTACCAATCCTTAATATCAATTAAAACCCAGCTTTAATGAGAACGTTTGCTTTTCGAATTTAATAAATTAATATTAATTTAATAGAAAGCTAAGGCTGGTCTTATTATAAACAGCAACACACTTAGGCTGATGTGCAGAAAATAGATAAGCAGAAGGATACGTTTAGATTAATATGAAGTTTTGTTCTAAATATCTATATAGCCATATGCGATATTGCTAAAGCAAGGGATAGATACGTTGGAAAGTGTTTACGAATGTATTTGTAATTTGTTCTTTTTTTTCTATCCCTAAATATCTACAGTGAGGTGTCTGATGCATACGTTCAATGTACGTTTATACATACACAACAGGACACTCTAATCATACATAACGCTTATCATTTACTCAAGCATGAGTTATTCTGTATTTTTCAGCAATAGCTTTTTAGCTCTATGTATATTATTTTGCTTTTGAACACAAAGCAAATATGACTTTTCAACTTATCTATGTCTAGTTATAGTTAGAAAGTTGACGCATCTTCGGGCACAGAGACGTCCAAACTACTTAGTAAGGGTCGTAGGATAACAACTCAAGCGAATACAGTAGCGCAAGGTTAGAGGCGTATTAATTACAAGCTGATATTTTCGGATGAAATATATTTTTTATCAAGTACCCTCACAAATTTACAGTATAAAACGGCACAATTAGAGCAGTTGCAACTGTAAACTGTACTATTTAATATGCCATCGTCTGCGTATGCATAGTCGCCCTGAAAATTCATGTTTCCATAGCTAAAACTTAAGCAAATATTGACTGCATAAAGCGCCACTAACCGCCACTGGTATAGAACTGTTTTTATACGGACAGAAGCTCCTTCTAACGTTTGCGCCTTTTTTGAAAGAATTGAAGTCGTAAGCTTATTTAAGACCAGCACCATCAGAGTATAATATGTATCTTATGTGAACCTCTGTCGGTTGGACCTAAATCCACCGAGATCACTACTTACATACTCTCAGTTCCTCTCCCAAGGCTCACGCCGAATCAGCCCAGAGCTGCATTCGATTGTGCTACGGGCAGAGAGAGCACGTAGTGCCACCAGATTATGAGGATAACCTCGGTCAGATTTCCCGTATTTCCAGACGGGCTGTCTCCTTGTGCGGAGGGCTGATCTTTATGCGTCCTTTGAACCTTACCGCTAAGCAGTGTCTGCAATTTTGTCCAGCCGTAACCTTACAAACCATTCATTTACCTTTGAGATATCACTGGCCAGAGTCTCATCCGCCCTTCAAAACTATCGCAACCGGACGGCGAAGCAAGTGAGTCTTTTATACCGCGTCCTACGAACAATCTCATTTTTCCCGTCATGTGTCCTGCTCTATTGCAGGCAAGCGCCATATTGGTGGCTTGCGTGTGACGTGTCGTACCCTGCAGGCCAGCAGTGTAAAGAACACAGATATCCGTGGCGCTAATAAACGAAGACAAAATTCCTTTACCGTTTACGACTTTAATATAACTAATAACATTAGAGCACAAGGTTACCCGCTTAACTAAGTTAATAATAATGACCCGTTTCAACGAAACTATCCCTTAAACACCTAACCTTCTAGGCTATTGTGACACATGCTAACATGAAAATCTCGAGATGACAGATCCAGTCTAATATAGACTTGCAGATATGGTATGTGGTGTCCTTTCAGAGACTCAAAACACCTAATTTTGGCCAAAACGCAAGAAAGATTTAATAGATAACGCCCGCGTGAAAAAACGTTTAGAAATTACCGTAAAAGCGCTAAATTCGTATCATGCAGATCTGATAGGTAACTCTATCTAATATGTCTGGAAATATCACCCTGTCTACGACTTGGAGACGGATGCCTGTGGAACATTAGCAAGAGAAATGCTAGAGCAATGTAAAGGTTGATGCCTCTATTCTCTGTTCTGTTTTTCGCATAACATAAGTTAAATGATTCATTTGCAATTAAATTGCATACGAATCAACAGTATACTGCAATATACGAATAATGTAATTCATTAAATCACCGTCTTTGTGAAGTTTAATTAGAACAAACCTTGGCAGCATCAAATTTACAATTATATAACTTAAATCCAATGACTAACAGGAACTGAGTTGTCTGGTAGTTTGTTTACATTAAAAATAGCTTTATTTTTTGCTGTGATATGGTGATTTTTCTGGTCAGGTTATTTTCATTCCGTGGTTCCACACATTTGGAGGTCTTATAATCATTTCATTTCTATTCTCCTGTACGGGCCTAGTCTGCTACGCAGAGTTCTGTCGCCGCCAAGAAGGTGACGGAAGGTAGAAAAAAACTACACTGTTACATTAAAATTAAAATAAGAAGTATCACGTGCCCCTTAAAAACTAACTTGCCTTCTAGGCAGATTCTTATGGAGAGATCTTCTCCATTAAGCTTTACACAAGCATGTTAAACTGCTGTGGCTCTATATGCTAACGATAGTATAATCAGGCGCAGAAGACAAAAGTCATCAAGTGTTGTATTTGAATGTTGATAATTGCTGAGGAGGACAACGTTTCACAGAAGTATTTTGATTATATTTATTATCCGAAATTGCAGGGCGTACTAAAGAAAACAATTTGTTCGAGCAGAATATTTCCAGCAAGATTATTTAAACGTCAAAATTTGAGGCTAACTTTAGCGTAGCTGTTTATCTGTCGTTGTTCTTTAAGGCGTTACCATAAAACATTACAGATCCCGCCAGAGTTATCTCTGAAATAAATATTGATCTTAATTGTTCATTACAGATCACTTTTATGCTACTTTTGCATTAACTGCTGTTCACGTCCCCTGGCAGAGCAAGAAGATCGGAGCACCCCCATTACTGAAGTTGTCGATATTACCCACGTTGATGAGCTACTTAGCTCGGTACAAGTCGTTCGTGAAAACGCGAATTCTGGCGTAATGATAACGGAAGACAAAGACGATTCCAGTATCACTGATTCCCAAGTATGATTTTCGCCGGATTTAATGTATGTATAGGTAGATCTACCTAAATGCTTCGAATCGTATAATTGCAAAATGCTCTTTGTATATCTATGTATGCGGTAAGTATTATGTTTGTCTCCCTTTCCCGGAGAGAGCTTCCATTGTCTCAATAGCTTTAGTTTTTTTTTTTATAAACATTTTATAAAACGATCGCTTGAGCGACATTTGGACTTATTGCATGACTTTTTAGAACTTTAAAAACTTTTTTCCGCCACTGTGTGTGTTGTATTTGTTTCGTTTGATGAGACTCGAAACAGCTAACCGTAGTTTCGTTCAACCGAAAACGTTTTACTGGACTGCTTTTTTAAGCTTGTTCAATACTGTATAGCAGGCTATGTGCTCATAATTCCATAACTAATTTCTCGACCAATTTAGCATATTAAGATATTTGCAGGCAGTTGAAACACTGTCACAGTTTAAAGTATATATTTGGTTGTATGTGCATACTCGGCCAAAAACATAATCGTCTTGCCCTCCAAGAGGAAAGCAGGCTTTTTACACAAATATATATATATATAAAAAAAAAAAAAAGAACAAATAAAATTTATCTAATTTGATTTGTGTTTCCCCGGGGGTCGGAGTGTACGGACGTTGAAGTTACAGTTAATCTAGGTTTATCACGTTCGACGAATAATTTTTATTGTCTTTCGTTTGTATCATACTTTCAGTTACATTCTAAATGATCACACATGAATCAGTGACCACTGCTAAAACTTGTCATCCCATGTACAGCTCTAAAATGAAGACCCTTGTCTTCGATGTTCCTCGCCGACATCTCACTCAATCCATACTCACAATAAACCACAGGTGGCAAAAATATCTGCAGCGGAATTGCTCCTTCACTCATTCCTGCAATTCATCTGGCGTATTCCACGCAGTCGTCGCTTAGCTATATTTTGCTCAGTGGTTTGAAGTTGGAGACCCAGCCAAAAAAAAAATAAAGCTTTTTTAGCCATCAATGTACAGAGATCGTTTCCATATTCTGTTTATTCAACGCCTATATAATAATCATTCTGCTGTTAATTTTATCTGGAGTGATATCAATTGTTAGTCTTGAATATGAACCTAAAGGAGAAAATACAGCTGAATCCTACTAAATGAAACAATACATTATATACTACATATGTATCCTTAGTGAATGACAGATATTTGGGGATCAAAATATGATAGAGCGCAGCGTAAGACAGGATTACCGGTCCTGTTGTCCGTCGGTCCTAAGAACATTCCAAATCGGTTTTACAGTTTAGCTAGATCGTTTATATATTGTTACTGCATTGTCTAAAACAGAAATGTTCTTACGAATTCCAGTTTAATAATGAATTGCGTACAACATCACATCCCCGAATAATAGTCCTGAAATGCATTTGCTAGTTAAGTGGGTCGTAGTAAATGATAGAATGGTAAGCTTCCTGGATAGCAAAACTGATGAAAAATATGTTAGTAAAAAGTAAGGAATACCACGCACGTGCCTAAATACGGTTCGCGGACGGAATGTAGTTAAGACGTTGTCATAAGCGGCGCTTCTGGCAGAAAGGCAGAGGAATCTTTGTTTAGACTCCACTCGTATAAATATATTCATATATGTATATACATAGATGGGTTCGCTTCTTCGAAACGTAGACCGACGACATGAGTCTTGTCGCCGCTGCAGTGCAATATGATCAATCAAAGGCAACGTAAATATATATGATGCAATGTCGAGGCTCGACTAGTAGCAACTGGCGATTAACTGGCCTGCCAGTGGGTATTATGTACAGTGGTCCAGAATCAAAAATACATCTACTGCAACAATACATATTCTTTACGTTCGTTTTACTCTACCATTGGAAATACTTTCAAACAGCGCCCATTATTTTCTGATAACTTGTAGGTTAGCGGTGCCACGCTGCTACCATAACCAGTGCGACCGGTAATTCGCTTCTCGACTTTATCCAGGTTCGAACTTCAACAGCATCTTTAGGAATGAGCTGAAATGGTGTCAGCGGAGGCCTAGGAGCAACAGCTCCATATGCCAAAAGAACCGACGCAAAAGGAGTGTTGTTTTGGGAATCCATCTCACCTGGGGAAGCCCGACGCGAGAAACTGGACGGTTGGACTGACACCGACTCTGTGGGCTTACCACCTATCAATACCGCTTTGAGCCTTAAGCAATTCTAAATGAGTTACATTTAAGGCCTTGCTCATGGTAGTATTCACCGTAAAGATGATCTTTAAAACGCTTCGTTAACTGTGCGAATCATCCACTCCACCAGACCGTTCGCTTGCGGATAGGCAACAGTAGTCTTCATCGCACATGTTAAGCGCGCCAAATACTGCTGAAAGGGACGACCCCGGAAGTACCTCGCGTTGTTTGCAATGACAACGTCTATGATCCTGTAGCTGCCCAGTCTACCCAGCTACCAGAAATGTCAACACACAATCTGGGAAGAGGTGAACGAAACGAGTACCATAGTCTCTATTGACCAGAACGAATAATGGAGCGCGTCGTGGAACGAGCAGCGGTCCCACAAAAATTGAGAACCACCTTGACGAAAAGCCATGTCGGCAGATTCACACGTGTCTGGGGCAGCCGAGGCTCAAGACCCGGCTTTGTGTTTTCGAGGACTTTTCAGCTGCAAACGTACTTCGGACTCTTAACCATACGCCATGCTTTGATACGTAATAATACACCAATCGCTGGATGGTTTTTGTCAAGTCCAGATGATTTTGGTGGTAAAACGCGACGTCACTATCTTGGCCGATCGTGGGAGAACCTATCGGAGCCACTGCGGCCACGTAACAGTTTTTAAATAACAAAGCAAACTTATCGCCTTTTTGAAATGTATTCATCACCGAAATCCAACGCGGGCTTTTCATGTGTCCCAATGTAGACGTGATAGGGCGTCGGTATTGTATTTCGCCATGCCACTCTGGAGTCTGACGTCACAGTCGTACTCCAGCATTATTTAAACAAAGATCCCTCTTGCTTTGCAGTATTTGAACAAACTACTATTGGTGGTCACCGTAAACCACTGCCTGTACGAACGAAATGACAGCCAAACATTCCATCTCTGACAAATCCCATGTCGCTTTCTGGGCTGAGAATCGCTCGCGAGCGCACGCCATCACGCATTCCTCAATTTCGTTCCTGGGCGAGAGGCGCCCAGTCTGGCGCCGCCTACATCACTCTATACTTTTGGTTGCAAATCCACTCGGAAGTGTTGCTAAGTTGGTATGCCTGCGAGGGCCATGTTTAAAACTAGAAAGGACAGTCTATTTTTAACAAACAGTGCAGCGGCCTGGCAGTTCCTGCAAAACCTCTCACAAACCGACGATAGTGTGATGTTAGCCCTAAATAGCTCCGTAGCTGACGGACAGCCGGAGAGGGCTTGAGGGCGTCTACAACGGCTTCCTTCTCTGGGTCAAATTAGATGCCTAATGCAGAGACCCGATGAACACTTCTTGCACAGCGAACAAGCATTTCGACGCAGGATGCATTTTAAATCGCAGAGCTGAAAACTAGAAGGGTAATCTAGCTTGATTTCTTTGACAAACGCTATAATATAATCCAACTAAATCAAGGCCATTTGCTGTTTCCCTTTCATTAGCCGCTGAAATATCTCAAGGGCGTTAGCCAGCAGAAAAGGCATTTGCTTGAATTGATACAAGCCGTACGGGGTGCAAAACGCTGTCTTCTCCTGATCCTGGTTCCATGCAAATCTGTCAGTAAGCACTCGTAGAAAAAAATTCAGGCTCTTTCCAACAAGTCGAAGGCGTGGATTTGCAACAGAAGGAAGCCGATCTTTATCGTTGCGTTCAACCTCCAGAAGCTTGCACAAAATCAAATCAAGCCATTCTTTTTTTACAAAAACGACAGGTGAAGCGTAGGGACCAAAAAAAAAGTCGATTACGTCATTGTCGTCTAGCATCTGCTGTAACTCCTTCACAATGGTGGCCTGCTGGGTAGGTGCTATTTATCGATGTTCATGCAAAGGGGGCTACTTGCCCGTCGAGATTTGTTTCGAGAGGCCTCTTTGGCTTTTTCAATAAATGTCCAAATGCGTCAAGCAACAATTCTAGCAAACGACTTCGGTCAGGCCTACGCAGGTTTCCCCCGTATGAAGTCCTGGGCCTACCTGTTTACCAGGTGTATCGGTTTCCGGTTCAGAGAGCGGGGTGCATTTCTGGACGAAGTCTAACCTGGTGCCGGCCTTCAGGTAGATTTTCGTAGATAAAATTGGTTACCAGGACTTACACCAACCTTTCAAACTTGTGGTCATTACGCAGTGCTATAAATGGGCTCATGATGAGTCTATGGAAGCACAGTCCATTTGGACCGCCGCCCTGAGTACGTTGACTTATATTGACGGTTCAAGGGACACTAGGTGACTCTTCTTAGCAGTGGCTGGATAAGGACAAACCGATCAGCACTCTGTTTATTAGTCAAAACAAAGTGATTCCTAGGAAAACCTTTTCAGAGTTACGTCGTCCGCCTTTACGTCGATGACAGCACACGTTTCGACCAATTTCCCGACGACCTTCAACTGGCCTCCCCTTGTGATGGTGACGGGCTGTTACTAGACATCAAAGAGTCGCACGGCCTACTTGGCGCCCCGAATCCGAGGTCACATGTCGATGTACTTTAAAGTCACAGTTCATAGAGTTTGTACCTTCAGCACGGTTCTATATATATTATATAACGTTAAAAGCACAGCTTATATATATATATATACATATATATATATATATATATATATATATATGAAATACTTTACATCAAATAATACATAATAATAGCCGAAACTATAGTTTAAATCTGATTTTAATCAAGACCACTGAAATAAGGCATTGTATGAAAACTGTATGTATAACTTCGGACACTATTTCTTTAAAATCAGTATATAGTAAACGTCAACATTTCTTAGGCCGCTCCTTTCACTGGCGAACATCTTCGGCGCCTTTGCACCTTTCAAACCTTGGTCCTTAACAGAAAAAACCTGCACAAGCATTTTTACAGCATTATTACGCTATTTGAAACAACACGAATGATGAATGCTCTCACAGCAGGCTGACATCTAACCTTCCATTTTTCGAATTTGAAATATTAATTATACTACATCGTTTAAAATCTATGACTGGTTATTATTATTTAGGGCGTTTTTAATCATGACTGACTATGATTTGCTATTTTATCGTCGCCTTCTTAGCCTTACGAAACGACATTTAAGGAAGATTTTAATTATATTTTATCACGCATCCATTTGCAGGGCAACGAACTTAGTTTCCCTTATCTGCTGACTTCAATGCCTGTACCACCCCGTTTAAGTATCGCTTCCAACCACGAGGGTGCGCGACTCCTCCAGCACTGAAGCTTAACCAAAAGGCATCTACTACATAAGTGTAGTAGAACGAAAAGATCTCTTACTCTCTTTCAAATTTTTCAGGGTCTAGAGAAACCCGGTCATAGTGAAGGTTATTGTTACATGGTATAGGAATCTTGGCCAATTGCCTTCTGCCGTTGATGTGTGTTAAATCAATATAATTGCTAATTTCGTCGTACATTTGTGTATCTTGACAATGGAACCTATCGCCTGAGTTTAAAATGACGCAAAATCGAAGCCAGGATCAATAATGTAACCAGCAAATGTGTGTCAGGCGGCGACCTTAATAAATCGCGTTTCTATAGCTTAGTGACTCTTACATACTTCTACGTTTCGAGAATAGAAATTATGAAAATTTTATGCATAATCTGATAACGATCCTTTTCGATTTATCTTTCCATTTTTTTTTTATCTTCAGATAATGTTCTTTCTATATTATACCTCTTTGTTGTTCAAATATATATATACATATTGAGGTAGCCAATGATAAAGTATTGTGACCCCACCTTAACTTTTACCTTTAGCAAAGGAAAGTGTTTCTTTCGTTGGTTAGTAAAGTGGTTGTTATATAAAAACTGGTGACAATCAGCCATTACAATTGGTAAGTAGATCGCTATGTCAAATCGGGACCTAAACTGCTCACAGGCTCGTTTTCGATGTTTTCTTTACGAATTTGCAAACAGAACTTTGTGCACCCTCATCATAAATGGCAAGCCAACGCGTTCCAATCTAGGCTTCCAATATGTGCCCATTAGAGAACATGCCCAGAGCAGCCAATCCTAAACTAACCAGCTAGTATAAGCTAATAGTTGTTCTCTAAACCTATGGACGTCCTTTAGATATAAAAGTAAGAAAATCAGGTAACATCTGCTCTTTGTACAAATTTTTACCTAGAATCACTTTCTCTTATCTAGACGCAAGCTTCATTTTTCTTAAATCGAGCTTTCTACTATTAGTACCGATCCCAAATAAACCCATTATATAGCCTACTCTTAACACAGTACGACTTTAGCCGGGGTAAACGTGGATAGTAGCGGATAAATGCGTGTTTGCTACGGCAAATGATCTATTCCCTATTTTACCCCGAACGGCTTATATTTCATACACAGCACTCGCGTTGAACGACATATTGTTAAGCTCACTCGCTAAAATCATTAAAAACATTACCGTAGTGCGGCGGTCAACATCCAATAAAACTACCAGAACCCTTGAAAACAGAAACCCCCTAGTGGGCTATGCCGGAGCCAGCATCAGGCATTTGCGTAGAAGTTAATACGAGAATCGCGCAAAAAATCAATAGTCATTATTTTAGATGGATCTGTTTTTTTTATATTCCTGCTATGTATCTACTAAAATATCTTACGACATTCACTAATGCAGGCATCCTGTAACACACTAACTTGTCTCATAATGTAACAGCAGTAGCCGTTACATTTCTCATTCGAAATGTACGTACACCTAACGAAAATAAACTTCATATCGGGCAATGTATATAGACGCTAGGTTTGGTGTAAGCACAACACAGTTGAGCTTAAAGCACGTAATACATTTATTTATATGTAATTGTATTAATACACCTAATTTATTTAATTATTTACCCTAAGCAATAATAAAACATAATATGGACATCATCTCGTTCTTTTGCATCGTCCCCGAACCTCTAAACCCGAATATTTTTTTTTGTTGTTGCCACTCTGTCTTACTACACCAATTTATGTATACTGTCAGTGTAAATACAAAGCTCATTAGTGATGACGCGTATCATTCCGGTAACATTCGCTGAATAAGTTTCTGTTTAACTGCTGCCACAGATATTCGTAGTGGGATCTTTTGATTTGTTATGCCAATGATCAACTAACAGTGCTAAGTTGAATTTCTGTCAAGGTCTCACTCATTTTCGTGTTTGATATAGCAACGTGAACAACATCAAATAACATTTGTTTACCCTCTATCTGCCTATAGGTCGCTTAACTTCTCTCATCATATTATTACGCTCTTATAATTAACAGAGATTATCTTTTCTAGTCTTGTAATTACAAGAGCATTCTCTCAGTTAAGAGTAGCAGTCGTCTCCTTATACATTATGTATTCTATTTTTTGGCTCTATTACAGTCTTTACGTATGGCTCTTTCGTACTGAGCTCAGTTCCTTCTTGCTTTGACATTGTCAGAAGATCTGGCTCCCTCTTCCTGATCAGACATTCAAATGTTGCACACTGCTGCTTAATATCAATTGTATACTTATTACATGTCGTTCATGGCAACTCTTGAATTTGTCTAAAAAGAAAACATACGTAAATAATTACCGATGATAATGGAAACTTTGCGAGTAACTAATCATAGCGCTAGGTTTTATCACGCCTTCGCTTCGCTATTTATATTTTTTGGTCTAGTACATATATTTCAACATTTAGATAATACTCTGACAATGCTGAAATGTAGCTAAATATGTAATCGATTTTTTCAAGCACGACAATGGACGCTAGTACGATACAAGGAGAAAGATCAGAAAATCTTGGTTATTGTACCGTCATATCAAGGATAATCTAGTCTCTACATAAGGACACAATACATAGAAGCATTGTCGGGAAAACACAATTGACATAGCTTGTTTTTCTTAAGTGGCTTCCTGGGCTAACACTTTTTTTTACCCATCCCTTCTATTCTCCACACCACCTCGTTACCACCCGTTCATTTGTTTTTCTTAAAACAAATTTGGGTTAGTTTGAAAAGCAACAAAAGGTTACAGGTGTAGCCTCGTGTTCATGCCGTAGGACCACGGCAGCTAAGATTACGACTTGTGTCCTGAAACTCTCTCACCTTCGTTATTCATCCTTTAACCGTTGTTGCACAAGGTATATTCACAAGCCATTACTGCGTTACGACCAGACTACGTTGAAATTACATTAAACGTAGCACACGTTCAGTTCTATTCAACACTACCCACATTTAGCATACTATACAGCCCGTTCATAGCTCATCCAAAGCTGCGTAAAAACGTTTACGAAACGATTGCTGATTTCATTTGAGGTCGCCTATCTAGTTCTAACTGAAACGAAGCACTTGCCGTTCGTTATTAGAACCCTGTTAACGAAGGATCTTATTAATGTACTCCATTGACGGTGCTGCACTGTCCTTAGCACCAGTTTATTCTAGAAAACGCAACAACGGTTATCAACTAATTTTTCCTGTGAGAGGTAGATTGGTAACTAGTAAGGGGTCGAAGAGCCAATAGCACACTAACGACAGCTATAGAATAAATTGGGTCAGGCGTTAAGTCACTCTCTTCCTAGTCGATTTAGTAAGTCGTCCATTGAGACGTATGCGTTTTTGACATCGTTATCGCATTGCATCGAAAGCGTCTGCGACATACGGCAATAGCTGTACGGAGTGCTTCGAAAATTCGCTTGCGCTTTTCTTCAACTCTGCATCTCTTATTTTCACCTGTAGTTGCTTCCATATTGAGTTCGTGCATTATCACAGAACAGCAGTCACCTAGTGTGTATTATATACACATACATACATATATACATACATTTTATATATATAATATATATATATATATATATATAGTATATATACATATATATATTCTATATATATATATATATATATATATATATAGAATATTTGTTTAATATTAGTTTTAGAACAAAATCAGTGGTGAAGAAACACCTAAAGCTTGCTCTCTGGTACCAAAGTAGTTTCCTGTAACAGAGCTGTCGTTTTAACAAGGATTTCCGCTTAGCTTCAATTTCGTTTATGGCTATAGGACAATCTATATATTGTCGCGTCTCAACCTTATTTATACATAAATATATACATAGCTCGACAGCCCCTGCTTTTTTCCATTATGCTTAGTCACTCAGGTCCTCGATTTTTAAACGTCACTAGATTACGTTACATTACTAGCTGTGTTTCTCACGTCATCTGAACGCCGAAAAAATTGAGAGCGGTCTCGTATGTGAAATAGCTTACGACGGCGGCCGGTCCAGCTTTCAGAGCGTTTGGTGCGAAGCCGCGATATAAGCCACGGTAACCTTCATGTCGACCGATATTAATTAGCATACGTATGAACGACGTTTTCGGCAGCTGACCAGTATTTGCTGCCTGCAGACGCGTACGTACGAGGGTAAGCGGATAACTCGCTGCTTGGCCACACGACGACGACACTAGTGGGATGCCAATGATTATATACGTAGTCGGCCGCTTATTCTCCCCCGGCGAGTCAAATTTTTCAAGGTACCAGTTCTTCAGGCTCTCATAGATCATGAGATCGAGGCCAGCATATGGAAAAATTCCTGTTTTTATTAATCATACAGCAAAAAAACAAAATAGACCGAATCGTTATTTTTAATTGCTGTTCTTATTAATAAGAAAAATGCCTATCGATTCAAATTAAACGAAAAGCCCTTACGTCAATAGGTGTACCTTATATGATAGGTGTACACCTATCATTTGTAATGAGTGTATACAACGTACACATGTACAAATAACGCATTTTACTAATAATTTTCTATGTGCTTGTTCGGATGTTGTTTACCGCTAACTAATACTCCCGCAGTAAGACACGTGGCGCTCTAAACTGCAGAACTCATAATGCCGTTTCTGAATTTCCTCAACTCACGTTCATTTTTGCCAGACGCCCGCTAGATACCAATGGTCTGCGAACAAGAGTTAAGTCTCTTTTTCCACTCCAAAAATTTTACCGGTAATTTTCGTCTAACCAAATAGAAGTCAACTTTTTGAATGCGTGCATACATCTACATTAATCACCAGCGGCAGAAAAAGTTTAGGTGCCGGTTAGACATAAGACCTATCTCGCAATCCGTTTAATATTTGGCACGAAACGCATGAAAAGATTACACCATCTTCCACCTCGAAATCGTATTATCTAATATCATTTAAAGTGTTGCAAGATAATCTAATTTTTCAACACTTAAGTTATAGTAGACTTATATTTTGTACAAAATCATGGAGCTGATGTTCGTTTACGCACCGACAAGGTTTGGCAGATAGCCTCTGTACAGGGCTCTCCAGCCCTCCTGGCCTCTAATTTTGCGGAACGCATCCCAAATCCCAGAGTACTGCCCTGTTTTTCTGAGAGCTAGACGGGTCTTTAGCACCTCAGCCGGATAAATGATCGTCTGTGCGACTGCACCCGCCAAAGCGCCCGCGATAAATCTTTCGCTCATTAGAATTTCACGCTCCTCGTCGCCCTATGAATAATCGTAATGTATAGATATAGAGTTACTAATAACTCAAATTCTAAGTGCAAAACGGATAACTACGAGTTGACAAATTTAAAAAAAAAAGTATATATACATATATTTTTTGTACGCTATACGCTA